CACCCCAGGGTGAGACACTAGGTCTAATGAATCCCTTATCAAGCAAATCTTGCAACTGGTCCTTCAATTCCTTCAACTGCGGCAGGGCCATACAGTATAGAGGAATAAAAATGGGCTGAGTGCCCAGAGCCAAATGAATACAGAAGTCAATATCTCTATCGGGTGACATCCTCGGCAGATATGCAGGAAACACCTCTGGAAACTCACGATCAACTCGTACTGAATTCATGGAAGGAACCTCCGCATTAGAATCCTAAATATAGGACAAATAAGCTAAACATCCCTTCTCGACTATACGTCAAGCCTTGACATATGAAATAACCCTAGTAGTAGAATGGTCAAGAGTCCCTCTCCACTCTAACCGAGGCAACCTCGGCATGGCTAAGGTCATTGTCTTGGCGTGACAATCCAATATAGCATGATAAGGTGACAACCAATCCATACCCAAGATAACGTCAAAATCTACCATATTAAGAAGTAGAATATCTATGCTAGTCTCAAGACTCCCAATAGTGATCACACACGAGCGATAGACATGATCTACAACAATAGAATTTCCCACAAGCGTGGACACATATACAAGAGCACTCAAAGAATTATGAGGCACAACCAGATATGAAGCAAATATGATGACACGTAGGAATAAGTAGAGCCCAGATCAAATAGAATTGAAGCATCTCTATGGTAAACTGGAACAATACCTGTGATGAAGGCGTTAGATGACTAGACCTCAGATCTAGCTGGAAAAACATAAAATTAGGATTGGGCCCCACCACTCTGACCTACGTCTTTGGGATGGCCTCTAGATGGCTGGCCTCCACCTCTAACTACCTGACCTCCACCTCTGGCTGCCTGACCACTACCCCTAGCTGGCTGAGCAGGCGATGGAGCAATCGATACCGGGACCATGTCACGAGAATGCTGTTGTAGCATGTTGCCCAATAACCTCGGACAGAACCTTCTGATATAACCAGTACCTCAATACTTAAAACACTCATCCTGCTGTTGTGGTTGCTGAAGCTGAAGCTGACTCGAACCAATGTGATAGCTCTGAATTGGAGGCGCACTGATAGGAGCTGATGGTGCACTATAGGCTGGCTGCCCAAAATGAGATATATAAGGACCACGACTCTCTGAAACATTATGAGATGCCTGAAGTGTTGACTGAAATGGCCTGGGAGGATGGACTCTAGCAAAAGTACCCCTGCCTCCAAACGAGGCACCACTGAAACCACCAAAATGACGAGGTCTCTTATCAGACACCTGCCCCCTCTGTTAACTACGAACTATCTCGATTCGTCTAGCTATATCTATAGCCCTTTGGAAAGTACTATCATCTCCAGTCTCCTTGGCCATCTGTAGCCTAATAGTGAAAGTGAGCCTATAAAATGAATCTCCTCACTCTCTCACTCTCAGGAGGGTGAAATATAATGACATGGCAAGCTAGGTACACAAATCGAGTCTCATACTGGATAACTGTCATACTACCCTATTAAAGACGCTCAAACTTCCTACGATAATCCTCTTTCAGAGTGACAGGGATGAACTTCTCTAGAAAGAGCTGTGAAAAATGATCCCAAGTAAGTGTAGGTGAACCAGCTGGTCTAGTCAACATATAATCTCTCCACCATCTCTTGGCGGAACCAGTCATCTGAAACACTGCAAAATCGACCCCATTGGTCTTAACTACACCCATGTTCCGCAACACCTCGTAGCAGGGGTCTAGATAATCCTGTGGGCTCTCAGAATATGAACCACTGAAATGAATAGGGAAGAGCTTGCTAAACTTATCCAAACTCAATAAAGCCTCAGAAGACATGGCGAGCGTATCACCGACCTATGGCGCAATAACTAGTTGAACCCCTCTAGGACCTGAGTTGGTCCGACGGGTACAGGCTGAGTTGAAATCTCCTCCTCGGGATCAATTTGAGGCTCTACTGTGGGTGTTTTTGCTCGGGCTCTAGGCTGAGTTCTGCCTCTGACTTGACCTCGACCTCGAACTTTGCCCCTGATAGGAGCTGCCACTGGGGGCTCCGACTCATATCCATCTACAGATGTTGTGTGTGTTCTCCCCATCTACAAGAGAACAAGAATTGAATGGTTCAATCATCAATGATAGAATAAAATCGCACGATAAAGAAAGATAAAAGTGAAATTGTTCCAAAACACCATAGCCTCTGGAAGATAGGTACATACATCACCATACCGATCCTCTAGACTCTACTAAGCTTGGTCATGACTCGTGAGTCCTAAGCAACCTAGTGCTATGATACCCACTTGTCATGACCCAGAATTCCCACCCTCGGGACTGTGATTGTGCCTAATATTTCACTTGCTAGGCAAGCCAATGTTAGAGATTGTTTTTAGAAATTTTTAACAATTCAAATTAAATGATAACCAAGAAAATGAATAAACTGAAATAGAATGAGTAAACAAAGATAACTGCGATATCTAGATACAATCCCAGAACTGGTGTCACACGTGCACGAGCGACTAGAGTACTATAAATAAAAGTCTGAATGAAAGCATAACTGTCTGAAATAAAGTAAACAACTAGAATGATGTAGAAAGGGACTTCTGGGTTGCGAATGACGTGCAACTATACCTCAAGTCTCCATCAAGCAATCAATCCGAGCAATCGACTAACCGTCGCACTCCAAAATCTGCACAAGAAATGTAGAGTGTAGTATGAGTACAACCGACCTCATGTACTTTGTAAGTGCCGAGCCTAATCTCGACGAAGTAGTGACGAGGCTAAGGTGGGTAACTTACAATAACATGAACGCGCAGTATAATAATAATAATACGAAAGAAAAACAGGAAATGACAGTAAAGCAGTTAACTAATGAAGACAACTCAATCCTCGAAATCAGTGAAACAAGAAATATCAGCCCTCAAGATCTCATATGAAAATACTAAAAGCTAACACAATACAACGATAAGTACAACACACACAATCCGTTGCGGCGCGCAACGCGATCCCACCGTACAAACACAATCCTCCCTTATATCACTATATCAATATCAAGAATAACATGTAAAATCCTCTGCGGCACGCAACCCGATCCCACCATATAATCAGAATCAATATAAACAATCCTCCCTTATTTCACCATATCAAATCACATATAAAATGCATTGTGGTTTGCAACCTGATCCTACCATATCTATATCAAATCCTCCCTTATTCTACCATATCACAATCATTGCGGCATGCAACCCAATCCATAAACAAAATCAATAAATATAATTAATTCAACAACTTCATTCACAAGAATCTCTACGATTAAATAATATGAAAGCAAAACAATAAGCAACCTCGTACCAAATCAAGGACTGCTACAATTAATACAAAGCAACAAGACAAGCAAAATATATGACATTTAAAGTGTACAGGTAAGGCAATTAAGGCAAGTAGCAATTAATCATGGAATCATGGAAGAAACAATTATTTCAATACAAGAGTAATGACAAGTAACAAGTTATGGCATAGAAAAGTAATTAAAGCATATAACAGCTAAGATATGGAATAAGATAATTAATGAAATACAGGAAATCATGAAAATAATTATTTTGACAGCGTATATATACTCGTCACCTCGCATATATGTCGTTATACATGTAGTTCACATAACATATAGTTCAACGGTTCCTAATTCCCTCAAGTCAAGGTTAGACCCAATATTTACCTCGCTCCACAAGCAAATTAAAGCTCAGTCTGGGCCCTTCTTCTAAAATCTACCTCCAAACCAATCGAATATAACCAAAATCTATTTAATATCAACAAATAATACTAGGGAAATCAATTACAATACATAATGTTAAGATCTTTGCATTTTTTCAAAAAGTCAACAAAAGTCAACCATAGACCCTCTTGGTCAAAACCCCCGATTCGGATCAAAACCCAATTACCCATTCACCTCGAGCCCGATTATGTGAGTAGTTTTGAATTCCGACTTCAATTTGAGATCTAAATCTCAATTTTACAAAAATCTCAAATTCTACCCAAATCCCTAATTTTATACCATGGAAGAGCATAAATTAAGGTTAGAAATCAATGGGTGTTGATGGAAATGGAAGAAAACGAGTTAAAGTATACTAACCTATGAAATGGTGATAAAATTTCTCTTCAAAATCGCCTCTAGGCCAAGCTCTAATGTAAAGATGGTGAAAAATGGGTGAAATATCATTTTAAGAAATTTAAAAGATTAGGCGTCAGGTGTTCATCGCGTTCGCGAGACACTTGACGCTATCGCGAAGCAGCAACGGCCAAAGGCCTTCACGTTCGTGAGTTGTTCTTCGCGTTCGCGATAGCTTTCCCCTCTATATTAGCTACCTCGTGGAGTTCAGATTTAATCGAGAGAGGAGTCTTGACTATACAATTGAATGAATAAACAAGTGAATTCGTGAGAATCATTAGAACATTAGAGTGAATTGAACTAGAGTTAGATCCCGAATAGCGATCTTGCACCTATCCAGTCACGACCCTTATTTCTCCTATTGATTATTTTAGTGTTACTCAAATCTTGTCTTTGGGTGATTAATTATTAATTGTTATTGTTTTAATAGTAAATTTAGTTCATAATCATTCCAACCAAAGTGTTAGTCATTCTGAATAACATTTAAACAAGAAATTACTTAACATTATTTATATTCAATCAATGTGAAGATGATAATTAAACTATATTATCTTTGTCTAGCGAGCACTAATTTCGTGTTGTATTTTGCACTCGTCAAATTTTGGCACTGTTGCCCCGGGTTGGCAATCAATAGTGTTCAAAATAGGTTTTTGTGCTAATTCAGGAACCAATTTTATTTTCTTGTATTCTTGTTTTCTCACTTGTGTGCAGGAAATAGGTTTAACTCATCTTGTGTATGACTCTATCTTCTTCAAAGAAAGTGATACCTTTCGAACTAGAGTTAAAAATCACTTGTGACAATTGAGAAAAGAAAGAGGGTCCACCGAAAATTTCTTGGGGCAATCTTCGACCTAAGAACACATGGGAAATAATAGTGATGATGGAGTAAATTTGGTTGCAGGAGAAGCAGCCCAACGAGCAGGAGTATCTGTATGGGCAGCTGCTGATGCAACTCTGGGAGATGGGAAAATTATTATTGGGTACGGAGGATGGAGATTTAACCTGAACTGGCTTCTTGCGGAAGATGCATTCAAAAATGTGGGTCCCAAAGCAAGCAGATCATTGGGTGACTACGTCAGGCCAATCTACAACTTAGAAGTATCTAGTATGTGACCTTCTCCGATCGCAACCAATAATTTTGAGATCAAGCAAAGGCTATTTCTGACCATTCTGAACAATTATGTCTTCCAAGGCAGACCAAACGAAGATTCAAATACTCACTTGATTTGATGAGATTATGAATACCTTCCAGCATAATAGGGGATCGGAAGATGCTATCTACTTAAGCCCATTTCCTTTTTCACTGACGGATGATGCTAAGTACTGGTTGCATAGTTGGGCGGCTACATCAATTCAAACGTGGAAAGACATGACAAAGAAGTTCCTTGAAAAATATTTTTCGGCTGCAAAAAGTGGAAAATTTTGAAGAGAGATCCACAACTTCGAGTAGAAAGATACAAAAACGATGTTTGAAGCATGGAAAATATTTAAGAAAATTGTGAAAAGATATCAGCATCATGGAGTAGACTTATAGATTCAACTCCAAGATTTTTAGGATGGGTTGACACCCTCTGGCAGGACTCGAAACAAAGCAGTCGGAGGTCCTCTTATGAAAAAAACTCCTAAAGAGATTGTTGCATTTCTAAATGAATTATCTGAAGATGTAAATCAATGACCTGCAGATGATGGCGAAAGAAGGAAAAAAGTTGAGGTACATCAAGTGGATTATAATATCTCTGTCTAAGCCCAGCTAGACTTCATGGAAAAGAAGATAAGAAAGTTGGCCTTAGCTAGGCTCCTCAGCCATCCATCATTAGTTTGTGACTTTTGTTGAATGCGTCATCCAACGTATGATTATTAGGCCCTAGCTATAGATGAAGTGGAAAATATTGTGGGAAGCTTTAATAGAGGCAACTACCAAAGTAGTAATAATTTTAACTTCATGGGGCAGAGACACCTCGAATTTTTGGGGAGTTCACCTAGTGGTAGTCTAAATGTATGGTAACATAATAATCTCATACCCCAAGTACAAGGAGCTTCAGAATTTCAAAATCAGCAAAATGTAGCAAAACCAGCCTCAATAGTCTAATTAGTCTGGCATGGAAGATCTAATGAAGGCCTTCATTATTAAGACATATGAGAGACTTGAAATTCATGGTACAACCACCCAGGAACGGGGCACAGCCATCCAGAACTTGGAAAGACAGGTGAGGAAAATTGCTAATCTATTGTCTGCAAGTGCTCTAGGAGCTCTTCAGGTGGGGAAAATTGCTAATTTGCTGATACCGAAAGAAATCCAATGCGGTGTCATTGAGAAGTGGACAAGTATTAAAGGACCCTATTGAAAATCTAAAGGGAAAGTTGATTCAAAGACAAGTGGAAACTGTGAAAGAGTATAAAAATAATGAAAATCAAGAAGGTGAAGTGAGGGTAGATCCAAAGGATGCTCTGAAGAGGAAGATGAAGACTAGAGCTCTGAAAAAGAAGAAGAATGAAAATTTAGTGAATGAGGAGACTGGGGAAAGCAAATATATGTATTCTCTACCTTTCCCCCAGAAGCAAAGAAGAGAGAAGATGAACAAACAATTTGGGCATTTTCTAGAAGTGCTCAAGCAGGTGCATGTTAATCTACCTTTCATAGAGGTACTCTCACAAATGCCATCATATGCCAAGATATTGAAGGAGATATTGTCCAACAAGCAGTAAGTGGAAGAGACTTTGGTTTTCAAGCTCATTAAGCATTGTAGTGCGATCCTGCAAAATAAGCTCTTCGAAAGTGTGGAGATCTAGAGAATTTTACTATACCTTACTCTCTAGGAAGTACTAATTTTGAAATATCTTTGTGTGATTCAGACATGTCTATTAATCTTATGCTCTTTACTATTTTCAGGAAACTTGAGAAAGAAATTGGAGTAATCAGATCTCGACCTGTGTCATTGCAGCTAGAAGATCAGACTATAATAATACCTGAAGGAATAATAGAAGATGTGCTAGTTCAGGTGAACAAATTTACGCTCCCTATGGACTTCATCGTGGTCAACATAGAAGACAATAAGGAGGTCCCTCTGATTCTAGGGAGATCCTTCTTGTCTACTGGCAGTAGTACAGTGGATATTCAGGAAAGGTAGCTCATAATAAGAGTAGGGGAAGAGAGAGTGGCATTCAAAATGAAGGAGGCAATAGGGGCACCAAGAGGGTACTTGGCTGCATACTTTAATTTTAACGTGGATGTCCTAAAAGCACTAGATGATGAGGACAAGCATAATAAGTGTGGGGTGTGCCCGAAGAGGTTAGAGAAGAAAATCTCAATATAGTTGTGTGCACTAGGTCGGACGTGCAAAGCGGACCCCGACATTGATTCAGACCCAAACTAGATGATTCAGGGGAGTTTCCTTTGCCTCTTGCTTTTTATTTATGTGTCAAAGGTACATGCCACAATTTAATTCCCCCTTGGTTTTTCTTAATGCCACAGTTCTTTTTCAAGAATGTTTGCTTGAATCGGGTGTAGTTTATTTTTTTGTCAGGAATATATAAGCCTTGTGCTATGGTGTTAAATGGAAATAACTTGTCTTAACTCTGTTGTGGCTTGAGTGAGTGTTTTAGTTGGTCTAGGATCATTTCTTGACTCGTCTATAAGTGCCTTAAATGGTTTAATTTTGACTCTGCTTAACTGTTTTGGCTAGAGAGTCGAAATAGATATGGTCTTAAGTGATTTATGCACCAATGTGTATGTGAAGTTATTATTGATGTTATGTGCATGTCACTTGATATCTAGAACTTTTTAGTTGTGTTTGCAAGCGAAATCGCAGTCTTGTTCAATCTAGGATGTGATATATGCATTTCTTTATTGAGCGGATATATGCCTTTGACCCACCAAATTAATGTGTATCTTAGTTAGCTTCTCTGAGTCTGTAATCTTATTTCTTTGGCAACCACACTACAAACCTGACCCCTTTATTTGAATTAACTATATGTCTGAACCTTTTAACTCTACCTAGCAATTGAAATTATTATGAGCTTGTTAAAAACTAAGTAGAGGTATGATTGGGGTTTTTGAGTGGAACTTAGAAAAATAGAAAAAGGTAAAATGTTAGAAAAATTGTGAAAGTCACGTGTAAGGAATTATAAAAAAAAGTGAATTTGCTTGAGGAAAAAAAACAAAATTTTGAAAAGAAGAAAAAGAAAGAATTTGTGTGTGTATTAGAAAGAAAAAATTGATTTCTTGTTAGTGGTAGTTCTCATCTTATTTGTTCTTAAGGAAATTGAGAGCTTGATGTTATTATGTTGTGAAGGTTGGGGTTTGGTTCAACATAAGTGTGGTGTTTGAATTGTTAATGTATATGTATTAAAATACTCAGGAGGTATAGTCATTATATCCAAATATATCTTGCCCGCCCCGCAGCCTACATTACAATCAAATTAAGTCCTACTTGATTTTTGACTGAGTGAACTTGAATTAGTAGAGCATTACATTACGGACAAGCCTATGGTACGTCTTTTGTGGCACATGAATCTTAATTCTGAGAGTGAGTGAATTTTTTCTATCTTGAGTTCCTATTTGTTCTTGAACTTTATTGTGAGTGGAACTACTCTCTATTATTTGCATGAGGGCACTTAACTTGTTGTAACGACTCGATTGGTCATTCTTTTATTGCTTCACACACGTGTGTTATGATTTTATGACTAGGGGTTGTTTAGTTTCATTTTGGAAAGATTTCGGGTTGATTTGGACCCTTGATTCTTGACTTAGAAGTTTAAATTAGAAAATATTGACCAAACCTTGACTTTTGTGAAAACAAACCCAGAACCGTGTTTTTATGCACTGATATCTTTGTATCGTGATTTCGGACTTGGGCCTATGCCCGGAATTGGTTTTGGAAGTTCGTAGATTGATTTATGCCGATTTACCAAAATTTGGCAATTTGAAGTTGAAAGGATTCATCGTAGGTTGACTTTAGCTATCGAGCTCAAAATTTGATTTTGGGACTTGGAATAGATTCGTATGGTGTTCAGGACTTGTTTGCAAAATTTGATGTCATTTCGAGTTGAGTGAAAGCATTCAGACGCTCAGTTGTAATTCTAGAAGTTCTTGAAAATTTCCCTGAATTTCATGCATTTTATAATTTAATTCGTGGTTCTAGATGTTATTTTTGTATTTTGATCGTGCAAGCGAGTTTTTATGATATTTTTAGACTTGTGTGGATGTTTAATTTGGAGATCCGATATAATGACCCAGTCGGTTGTTTCGAGAGTTATAGCCTCGTTTCCCCATTTCCTGCTTCTTTTGTGTTCTTCAGCTATATTATGATCTACCAGGTTAGTTGGTTCGGGTTCGGAGTGGTTTCGGAGTGAATTGAGATACATAGTCTCTTAATCGAAAGCTTAGGTTTGGAAAGTTTACTTATGTGTAAATGACCACGGATTTGAATTTTGATGGTTTCGTTAGCTCCGTTAGGTGATTTTTAACTTGGGAGCACGTCCGGAATGTGATTTGGAGGTTCGTGGTAGAATTTGGCTTGAATTGGCGAAAGTTAGAAATTTGGCGATTTTGTCCGGCAGTGGAAATTTTGATATCCGGGTCAGATTGGATTTACGAAAGTTGTAGTAGGTTTGTGGTGTCATTTCTAACTTGTCTACAAAATTTTAGGCCATTCGGAGGTGGTTTGATAAGTTTCGGCGTCGTTTGTAGAATTTGGAAGTTAGAAGTTCTTAGGCTTCAATCCGAGTGTAATTTGGTGTTTTGATATTGTTTTGAGTGATTCGAAGGTTCTACTAAGTTCGTATGAGGTTATGTGACTTGTTGGTACATTTGGTTGAGGTCCTGGGGGTCTCAGGGGTGTTTTGGATGCTCAACGGAAGGAAGTTTTGGACTTAGGCTTGGCAGATATTTTTGATGTTCTGGTGTCTTCGCACCTGCGGTAGGAGGCCCGCAAATGCGGCCCCGCAGAAGCGCCTAGGAGGTCGCTGATGCGAGCAAGGCTGGGTTGGATTGGAATTGCAGGTGTAAGAAGGAGGTTACATCTACGAGCCCGCAGATGCGAGGCTGAGGCGCAGATGTAGAAGAGAAGATTTTGAGCTGTTTCTGCAGAAGCGGTGTGAAGAGCACAGGTGCGCCTCCGCAGGTGCGAGACCTGGAACGCAGGTGCGGGGCTAGTGTTTTAAGTGTGTTTCCACAGAAGCGGAGTTCTAACCACAGAAGCGGCTCCGCAGGTGCGGTTTTGCTGGACAGAAAATATAAATAGAGGACTTAGGGGTTTCCCCCCATTTTCATATTTTTGAACTCGGACTTTGGGGGATTTTGAGGAGATTTTGGAAGGGAATTCGTGGTTATCACTGAGGTAAGTTCTTGAGCCTATATATCTTTGGCAATGATGTTTTTCCATGTATTTTTACACTTAGTTGGTGAGTTTTTGAGGTGAAATTTGGGAGTTAGGGCTTGAGAATTGGGAGAGTGAATTTTGGGGTTTTGGATGACCAAATGATATTGGGTTTTGATCAATTTAGTATAGTTGGACTTGTGAGTGAATGGGCTTTCGGTGTTTTGTGACTTTTATTGGATTTTGAGATATGGGCCCGGGGCCGGGTTGAGCCAATTGTGGGTTCTTGTGGAATTGATTCTTTTAGCCTATATTAATTGTATTGTACTATTGTGGCTAGATTCGGGACGTTCGGAGGCCGACTTGCAAGGCAAAGGCATTGCGGAGTAGAGATTTGCTCCAATTGAGGTAAGTAACGGTTGTAAATATGATCCTGAGGGTATAAAACCCCGAATTTTTATGTCATGTGATTATTTTGGAGGTGACGTACATGCTAGGTGATGGGCGTGTGGGCATGCACCGAGGGGAGTGTGACTTGGTCCGTCCTGTAGAAACTGTAAAGTTATACAACTTGTTGTTAGCTATATGCTCATTATGTGTTATAGAAAATTGACCGTTAATCATGCTAGATACCATGTTTAGGCTTTATGCCGATATTGTTGGGACCCTTAGTGGTCATTTCTTGTTGTCATCTACTTTTTAATTGATATTCCGTACTCAGTCATGTTAATACATTTTCATATCATATCTCAGTCTCTGCTATTCTATTTGATGCTTTATGTTATTGCCGTTTGGGCTGATTTTTCTTGATATCTGAGAGCCCGAGAGACCGGAGAGATTGATGACTGAGTGAGGCCGAGGGCCTGATTGTGAGGATATTATGGGATCGGGTTGCATGTTGCAACATGTTTCATTGATTTTGCCATGATTTGTAGTGATATAGCGCTTGGGTTGAAGGAGCCCCTCCGGAGTTTGTGCACAGCCCCAATGAGCGCAGGTACCTACTGAGTGCGAATGACGAGTACCGAGTGCTGAGTAATTGTGAGGATGAGTGACTGTGAGGTTGGAGTGACTGGGAGGACTGAGTAATGGTTACCCGAAGGGTAGTATATGATTTCATTATTGATGCACATAGTTGCCTTATATCCTTACTTTGAGAACTATTAAAATATATTTTATCTAACTTTACTTGAACTTGATTTAAATCAACTGATTTGACATAAACTCTGGATTGAAAGCATGGCTACTCTTTACTGAATTTTATGAAATGAACTGTATTTGCATAGCTCGTCACTACTTCTTAGTTCCTTATTTATTTCTGTTACTTACTGAGTTGGTGTACTCACGTTACTCCTTGCGCCTCGTGTGTAGATCAAGGAGTAGTTGGTCACGGAGAGTGCTGATAGTCCTCGTAGCTGGTTATTGGAGATAGCGAGGTAACAACCCGATTATGTTAGTTTTGTTATTGTCTGAGCAGTTATGTTTAGATGTTCATGACTTAGCGACACCCCGATGTTGGGGCTATCTTTCCGTATTTTTATATTGAGTTTACTTTTGTTTCTTTTTATGAAAATCCTATTACAAAAAGGTTTTTGGCTCATCTTTTAATGAATTATTGAAACATTTCGAAAGTCAGCTGGCCTAGTACCATCAGTAGGCTCCATTATGACAGGTTATAGTTTGGGTTGTGACACTCGAGGGCTCGGATGAGCTTCGAACATGTTCCAGGGTGTTTTGGACTGAAGTTGGCAAAAATCTAGTGTCTGGTACTCTAGTGTCGCAAATGCGAACACCAGACTCCCATTTCCGAAGGTGATAGAGGAGGGGCAGTTGTCATAAATGCGACCACCCTTTCGCATTTGCGAAGTCCATAGTATTCCAGCATAGTTCACATTTGCGGACAATTGTTCGCTTTTGAGAGGGCCCTCCAGTTCGCAATTACGAAGCTTTCATCGCAATTGCAATGTTGACTTAGGTTGTCAGAGTTCGCAAATACGATCCCTGATCTGCAATTGAGAGGGTTCGCTTATTGCAAATGCGACATCTGCAACTGGTTAAAGGGCTGGGAGACGGGAGTTTTGAACTTATTCTCTCATTTTTGAACCCTAGACTCGGTAAAAGGCGATTTGGAGAGGGGATTTTCATCTACAAACTTTGGGTAAGTGATTCTATTCCATTTCTGATTATATTCCATCAATACATCTTAGATTTAACATCAAAATCATGTGAACCAAAGTGAAACTTTGTCAAGTTTTTAAAAAATAAAAAATTGAGTTTTCAGAGTCGTTTTGGACTCGGATTTTAAAACTAATCACATATATGAACTCGTGGGGTCAAGGGTAGACAAAATCTACCATTGGACCCGTGTTTTGACCAGGCGGGCCCCGAATTAACTTTTGTTGACTTTTTGGGGAAAGTGTAAAGATCTTAACTTTATCTATTGCAATTGAATTCCCCAACATTATTTGATGATATTGAGTCAAATTTGGTTAGATTTGAGTCGTGTGGAGGTGGATTTAAAGGGAAATGCTATTTTCGAGTATTAAATTAGCCTAGTTGAGGTAAGTGACTTGCCTAACTTCGTATGAGGGAACTACCCCTTAGGATTGATATTGTTTGATTCAATTGTGCTAAGTAAAATTCATGTATGCAAGGTGACTAGTGAGAGCATTGGTTGTACGTGGTATCTGATCAATTTAGGTTACTTAGACTATTTCCATGCTTTAATTGAATGTCATGTCATGTTCTAATTCTTCTAGTCAATCTATTCGTACTTGTGTTAGTCTATCCTTATATGCCTTAAATGATTTCGTTAATACTTGTTCTACCTCTTAATTGATCATTTGCTCTCATTCCTTAGTTGAACTTGTTGCCTTTTTTATTGTTACATGCTATCTTTTATTGTTAATTATCATTATTTGAAGTTGTTGATCGTGTTATCTCTTTCCTTATTGATTATCATTTACTTGAAGTAATTGTTCGTCTTATCCCTTTCCTTGTTGGTTTCCATTATTTCAAGCTCATTCTAAATTTTATCTCTTTTATTGTGAGTTAATATTATCTAATATCGTAGTTATACATTATTTCCTTCATTATTGATTTGATTGGTGTTGATGTTGTGAAAGTCGTTAACACATTGAGGCGAAGTTAGTTATTGTTGAGACCTCTATCTTATTGAGCATTTTACATTCATTGTTGTTGTTGATATTCTTGTATATGTGGAGCCATGGGCTATTGTTATGGAAATATTGGTATTGTTGTTGTTGTTGGCAAGTTGTGATATATGGGCACTTGTGGTGCGAACTGAGTGATATGATATTGACGCGCATGTGGTGGTATAAGGCTTGAGGTTAATGTGCATGCGGCAATATAAGTGGGACTTATGTGTGTGTTGCTTGTAAGGGAACTACGTGAAGCCGCGTGGTATAATAAGGCGGGCTAAGGTGCGTGTAGCTATTTCGGAAAAACTTTCAAAACCTATTTCAAATGTAAGGCTCACACGGCGATATAAGAAAAGATTGTGATTGAAATTGAGAAATGTGAATACGAGGTGATACGTTGGTTGTGATTCTTGATTATACGAGGTGGTACCTCGGTTTTGGTTTCATTATACACGAGGCGGTACCTCGTTGTGATTCTTTCTGTTTATTTCATGTTGCAAAGTGTTCTGGTGGGAATATTTCTTGTTGTTTCATTCTTTATTATTCTAGAATTTGTTGTCTGTACATGATCATTGTAGCCCCTTTAGTTGCTTCTTTATGTTATTTCCATTGTTGATTTCCGGTACTAGTTCATGCTATCATCTTGTTTCGTATCAGTTGTTTTCTCACTTTCCATTACAATTTGTATTACATTTTATACTATTGATTTATATCATAGTATGTGTCTTGACCTGACCTCGTCACTACTCTACTGAGGTTAGGCTCGATACTTACTGGATACCATTGTGGTGTACTCATACTATGCTTAGGCATATTTTTGTGCAGATCCAGGTATGTCTGCTCGTGACGGTGCTTGGGAGACTTCAAGGTATACCTGCTCCATATTCGCAGGTCTCAGAGTCACCTTCCCTTTTATTCTGTTACTGTTGTAGTTCTTTCAGACAATGATGTAGTAGTTATACTAGATTTACTCTATAGAGCTTATGACTCAATTTCACTGATTTTGGGGAGCGTACTGTTGATATTATATTTTGTATCCAATTTTGTTTTAGTATTTTAATAGATTGTTTCTGCCAAGTTATTATTATTTGTTAGGCTTACCTAGTCGTAGAGACTAGGTAACATCACGACATCCTACAGAGGAAAATTTGGGTCGTGACACTTATGAAGGAAAGGTAATGTCTTTGGCCTCTGTGTTAGAGTAAGTGACCAGGGTTTTGAAAACTACGTGGTGCTAGTGAGTTGAGCCTTGAGTCTAGGATGTTATGGTATGGTGCTTAGTGTGCTTTAATTATTCTTGGCAAGATGAGTTAGGAGAGTTGCTTGAAAAGGTTATCTCTATTTGAAGTGTAGTTTGATTGTTCGGGGGTAAGCAATGGTTTAAGTATGGGTATTGATGGTAGGCTAGGAACCCATAATTTTACTATATTTTACACTCTAATTACTATACTTTGAATGTTATTGAGCCTAATTGTTAGTACTTTGTACCTATTATGTATGTTATTGCTGTTTAGGATGTGATTTGACTGAAAAAGCAAGTGTGGAACTAAAATGGATGATTTGTAACTT